GAGTACGTAGAAAGAACCTTTTCCTCTGGTTTGCAATAGAGATTTCCTCAGCAACACAGAATGAAACACAGTGTGGTTATAGAGAGGATTCAGTGAGTCACAAGACTGTGTCATTTATTAATAACAAATAGCCTTGACCCGTCGTTCCTGTCATATCTCAATATGGTGTCTGTCGTGGTTTTACCTGGTTGGTCAGCCCCTGGGGCTGAGAATGGTTTTTTCCGGGTAAATTTCCGGACAAGAAGCCAATTAAAACTCTCAGTAACACCTTTGCTAATTACATATCTAAGAAAACAGAAGAGAAGGGTTGTGTTGCAGTTGAAATCAGGGGCAGCAGCCATGTGGAAGAGCAGCAGGCCTGAGGGGGGCTAGGCCCCCTCCTCCCCAGGCCCTGGGCCAGGGGCAGGTGTAGCACCGAAATTCCCCCTTCTCTTCTGTAAGAGAGTGAAGAAAAACAAACAAACAAACAAACTTTAGAGAAGAGCCTGGATGAGAAAAGCTGCAGAAGGCATTGCAGCGAAGAGATAAGGGACCTCCAAGGTCAAAACTGGCAGCCGGAGGAGAAAGAAGAACTGTGCAAAGGGGGGGGCCTGCTTCTTCCCCCCTTTTCGCTCTCTCCCCTCAGCAGGGTAAAGACTGAAAAATAAATTCCTGCCACCTACGGAAGTTTGTTGGGGTGAGGAGACCTCTTGTGCTGCTTGTGGAGGAGCCTGCACTGCAGAAGATTGCATGAAGAAGCCGAGACTTTATGAGAGACCCGTCGAAGATTTGTGACTCCGAATATGAGCCTGAGGGGGATGAGGCTCACGCTGGAGCGAGACGGCTCTGGTGAGATGTGGGAATCCAAGTAAGGGATCTGTGCTAGATCCATGCCGAGAGGTCTATCAAGGACTGCTCTCCCATGGGAAGGGATCACCATAGGGAACAGGGGTGGACTTATAAGCAATTACCCCCTGTAACTCCGTGGAAGAAGATCCATAGTAAGCAAGTGTCCCCTTGCAAGCCCATGGAAGGAAAAACCTTCAGGACCTGGGTAACCCCCTAACACAGCAAATAGTTCTGGAAAGATGACGAAACATTAATCATTAATCAGTCTTCTGTATTTGTATGCAAGATGACACAGCTGCCACACTCAACACAGATTTCCCTGACAGGTGAGATGCATCCATTACAACAGGTTTTTACTTCTAAAGACACAAGAACACCCTCTGTGATACACACATTTAACTTCCCACATTTCCGGAAGTAAATGCGATACCAAACTTAACTCTGGGAAGGACATAATGAATTAAAACCTAGTGTAACAGAAATCCTAAAATATTCATTTTGAATAAAATGGAGCCAATATTTCATTCCATTTATTTGTTTGTATTCTATGCTGTAGAAATTGGGGTAGGAGTTTCAAAAACAAAATTCTTCACAGGAAGTTTCACAAGAAAACTTCCATCCTTAAAAATATATCTTTTTATCACAGCATTGCAAATTGCTTCAGCTTCCTTGATGAGATGAATATAATATTTTCAGAAATGGAAAAAAAAAAAAAAAAAA